CCCCCTCTCCTTGTTGTCCTTGAAAAGGGCCATTTTTGCCTCTTTAGTGAGCATCATGTTTAGGTTCATGTTGGCCATGCCTTGACTGATATTTATGCTTATTATGTCATGATATAGCTCTGTTTTTAGTTGGTTTTGGTACACCATGCTTGCTTAGCATACATGCCTTGGAATGCCTTGTTTTAGCCTTAACATGTCCTATGCTTTGAGCCCTTATTCAAGCATGTTTAGGCCTAGCTTTATGAAGCTTCTATGTTTGTTTTGCCATGCTTAAGTTCTACCTTTAGTTGTTTTGGTCGACCATGGCATGCATTGCATAGCCCCTTTACATTGTTTAGCCACCTTGCATTTTGGCTTGTTAGCCTTAGGTGTGTGAGTGCGTAGCATGCATTACTTGCATTATTTCAGTGGTTTGGAACCACTTACTATGTTATTTCAGTCCTTATAACATGCTTGCATACTTGCATTTGATACTCTTTTGTTGCTTTAAAAGGTTGTTACCTCATGCTCCATGAATGTGCTTCTTTGTATGCTTGTATGTTTAAGCTACTTAGATGCCATCTAGGTGTTCTCTTAGCATTGTTTAAGTCTGCCTCGAACCTGTTTTAAGTCCTCTTGGCCTTGTGAGGCTTGGTTGACTTAGCCATGGTTTAAGTCTCCTTGGCTTGCCTCAAGTACTTGGACCAATTGCATGCCATGTTTATCTTGTTTAATTTGGTTAGGCACCATTATTAACATGATTTCCAGAGTTTACATTACATGCTAATTGTCCATGTTTAGGCTCCTTTAAGTGTGCTTAAAGATTGCTTGTTTGATGCTTAAGTGTTGGCACATCAACATGCACATGTGTGTGTGTGTGTGTGTAGGTCCTCATTTCCATAGCATTGGCCACTGTTTTAGGCTTGTTTGAGGGCTGCCTAAATTAGTTTAAGTCCGCCCCTTTACATGTTGTTGCATGCTCACCTTGTGTGTCGTTGCATACTAGTGCGTTGTTGCATGATTGAATGAAATCACATGCTTGCTTGCATGCATGCTTGAACATCCGTATTGTGTCTTGCATACTTGTAGGTTGCATTGTTTCATGCCTTACATGCTTCTTTACTTAGGTTGTGTGCCTAACCTACATTATACATTGCATTGCCATGTTACATACTAGCCTCCATACCTAGGATGCATTACATTGGCATGCATGCTTCACCTCTTGAGTTGAGTGTGATAGAGGTTGAGCCCCCTTTGCTTGATTATGTGCATCGCATTCCATATCAAAATGCATACTTGGTTCCTTGGGCCATCATGCATGGAAATACGCGATTGGTGGTCCGAGAATCGAGGTCCATCCCCCTTTGAGGCATGAATATGATAAGGGGTGTGATTGGTGCATACATTGCTTGAAATGCATTGCCATGCTATGTTTTGCCCTCTGCTGCTGTCAAAACAGATTCTGCAGGAAGATTTGGGCCGGCCGGACATCTGCAGTGCCGACCGACCAAATATGGATGGCCGAGAGCCCAAAAAATGGTCGATGACCATTCTCCATGGTCGGTGACCAATTCCCTCAGCCGGTGGTGTTCCACAGTATTCAGGGAAACAACCCTGAGATTTGTGCAGTCTTCAGAGAAGGATAACAGTCAAAGCAGAGGCAACTTGTGCATGGCAGTGGCTTTCCGAGCGGAGCCCAACGCGCATTGCATTGGGCCCTCTTCCCTAGGCTGTTTACTGTTTTCATTAGATTAATTAATTTGTTAATTAATTAATTAGTCTGTAATATTTAATTAGCTTGTAGGTTAATTAATTTGTATTATTCTTTCGGTCCCTCCGAGCGAGGGCAAATTTGTAATAAGTGTGGGTGCGTGTGTGCATGTCTTCTAACCCCCACTTCTTTCTCCCTTTTACTTACCTGCTTTTGATGGTTAGTATTAGGACATGTTTACTTTAGCATACCTTATGCTATGCATGCGTGCATCATTCATTAGTCTTGCATGCACCGGGCTCAGCGCATCATGCTAACTGCATAAAGTATTTCAAACTTAACTTGAATACATGCTATCTGTGCATTCTCACATGCTATCCTTAGATTAGCCGAGCCTATTCTAGATTGCATTCTGTATGTGATGCATTAGCCATTTTAGCATGGACTTTGATCATGCATTGATTGCTAACATGTTCTTGTCTTGGCTCGGAGTACATTGTAAGTATTTTTATGCTTTAGCATCTCGCATGAGTGTGAATGTCAACATGACAGCATGCTTACCATGTGGCTAGATGCTTATGTGATATAAACTGCTTGAATGCCTGTGGGTGAAGGTTGGATTGTTTGAGTTCGAACAACTCGTTGAAATCTGTGTTTTAGCCTACTTGCGAGTAGCAAATTTCAAACCATTTTCCGAACAAACGAATATGCAATGCTTTATTCCAAATTAGGCAATCTAGTCTATACTTTTGTGTTGTGCGCATCACATAGTAAGATTAGCTAATTAATCGGAATAAGAACGCATGTGTTTTCAAAAACGAGATATCATGGTTAGTAGAGGCCGATCTTCGGATCGGGCGAGAGGGGGTGCTCATAGCTGACCTTCCCCAATCGTACCCAAGTTCCCGAACCGAGGCAACTTTGGTGATGACGGACACGTGGCCTTTGGCACCGAGTCAGGGTTTCCTAAATTTCTCAAAATAAAATATTTAGGTGGTGACTCTGTATCTGGCAAAGCAGTCCATGTTTGACACTTCTTTTCTAAAAATCTGTTTTCTCAAAACGATTTGCCGGATTTGGACTCTTTGGTTCGGATTAAGAACCGTGACAATTCGAGAGTCCGAACTGTAGTGAGCCCAATACGAACAAAACGGGACTCACTCTCCCGGGGTGTTCGGGGACGTCTACACATATTATATGTAATCCTATCACAAAATTCGCCTTAATCTTAAATTTTTACGAATTTATGCAAATTTATATTCAATTTATACATATTTTTTAAATCACTTATGTACTTCGTAAAAACTTATGTAATTTTATAATAAGGTTGAATATCAAAACATTTCCAGAGACATTAATCTAACCAGTATAACTTTTCAACTCAATTTAACTCGAATTTAGATGGACGGTTTTGATACAATGAGCGGACAGATACTGGTACAATGAGAAGAGTAGATTGAGGCTATTACAGTCTATTTTTTTTTTTTTTTTTTAAAAAAGCTTTAAACAGTGGCCTTTTTAGCTATTTTTTCATTTGAGGCTATAATAGTCTCAATCTACTCTTCTCAAACAGCGCCAAAAGCATATTGTGTGTTTGGTTTCAATTTTTTAAATTCAATTTTTTGAAAATTGAGTTTTTTTTTCGTGTTTTTGTTTTTGTTTTTGTTTTTGTTTTTTTTTTTGTTTTAAGTGAATATTTTTAAAATTTTAAGTAATTGTTTTACTTTTATAGATCCATTTTACTTAGATGTATCTAAAAAATAAAATATTTGTGAAAAAATATTTTAAAAAATTAATAAATACACAAAATATGAAAAATATATTGAATTTTTGTTTTTGTTTTTTTATTTTTTATTTTTGGTATTTAGTGAATTTTTTCCAAAAATTATATTTTTTAAGTGTATTTATGTTAGGTGTGCCTAAAATTTTTTTAAAAAAAATTACTTAAAATATTAAAAAAAATTCAGTGAAAACAAAAAAATATAAAAAACAAAAAAATAAAATTTTTTGAAAAGTGAATTCTAGAAACCAAAATCAAGTATGCTGATAATTTTTTTTTTTTTTTTTTTTAAACAACAGAAAATAAAGAACTGAAAAAAAGCCCCAAAGAAAGCATAAATTAAAAAGAATAATAATTGAGAAAATAAACCCCAAAGAAACGGTAAGGTTCAATTCACCTAACTTGCTTGATCCGATCCGATCACATTCGATCACATTCGATCAAGTGGAAATTCCTTAATCCGATCACATTCGATCAAGTGGCATATGACGTACAACTTGACCTCAACCTATGAGCATCCTTTCATTCCATGCATTGGGTCATGTTTTGTAGGCTAAAATAATTTTAGATAGAAATGAAGTAGCGAATACTTGTTTAGTTAAATTGATGAATGATAATTTCATTTGTAAAGTAATTTTTTTTTTTTTTAATTTTAATAACCAAACAAGAGAATGTATATTCCAACAAAATAATCATAACATTATAATTTCATTTCAATAAACTAATTAATGCATAATTCATTAGAGTAGGAATATCTAGTCTCCTCCTCGCATGTGCCTCGCATTTCAAATTTTCTTATCGAAACAAAAGAATAGAAAGGAAATGAGAATGATTATATCAATTAAATCATTTAGCAATGCTAGGTATCATGAAAAACTTTTCATGAAAATAATCATGAAAGGTTTGTGACCCTTGGATTACACTTAGAATAAAGTACCATACACTAATCAAGATAATCCAAAGATCATAAATTTTTCATGATCATTTTCATGAAAATTTTTTCATGATCCCTAACTTTTTCCTAAATTATTTTAGCATTTAGTGGTGCTATATCTCTTAATTTTGACCCTCCAATTCTACTCTCAATGACGTGGCTCACCCCATATAAAATGGTCTCACACTTCTCTCTCTCTCTCTCTCTCTCTCTCTCTCTCTCATCTTTAACCTCCTTAATTCCACATCATTGGAGATGGAATTGGAGGAGCAAATTACAGAATGAATCATTATTCATATATTTATGTAGTATTTAATTTGTTAAATATAATAAGTATAAATTACTAAAACATTCATATGTCTCATTTTTACCTCTATTACTTTCACCTATTACTTTCACCCTTCTAAATCATCTTTTAAAAGAGTGCAACTTTTATAATTAAAAGAATTAATTTGTACAGATTCATAAATAAAAGGTAGAGTGACACTCACTAATAATTGAAAAAATCTTTGTATAATTAACTCTCTATTATATCATCTCTCTTTTCAATATAATCAACCCACACTATGACAAATTATCTCAACATTTTCTCATTTTCATTCAGCCTTCGCTATCTCCTTAATTTTCCTTGCTACATTCTCATCGGACAAAACCAAAATAAGAACGGGATACCACAAATCTGACCCCGGCACCTTTGCCATTGCTAAAAACATCAACCTTGTGAGCATAGCAAGCAGTATCCATAATGCTATAATGATTTAGCATATAAAGATCTGGCCTCTTCATGTTTGAGAGAGATATAATTTCATGCAATTTAGGTCAAGGTATTCATTGTGTACCACTCTAATGATGTATATTATTCATTTTGTAAGTTTTATATGTAAATCATTTGTGAAAATAATAATTTGATCTGATAATCGAATTCACATGTTGTTTATTAAATTTGTCTTCAAAATAATAAATAGTCTATTTCAAGATTGTACTTAACGTCTATTTTTCAATGAAAATTCTGATAAAATTATGTAATTTTAATTACCAAATCAATTCTTTTTCCCAATACAATCTACACTCAAAAGAAATATAAAATGCTGGGTTTAGATAATTAGAGCGATGAACTTTACAATCCAAACTGCCCAAAACATAAGTCAGATCCTTCAATCTGCACATCAAATTAACTCTCCAACAGTGTGAAATTGGATGAAAAATAATACTACAATAATATAACTTAATGAAAAACTACTCGTTTAGTTTCGAGTTTTGTTTTGACAAGGGTAATAATAAGAATAGAAATAAAAGTAGGATAATGCATAAGACAAAATATTCATTTCCTGTTTAATTAAAAATATGCCTTAAAAAAACCACATAAAACCATAGTAGCACAAGATGTTAGACAGGTCATTATAGCAAGCATTCCTTTCAAAGCAAACAAGGCATATCCTAGAGTAACCCTAAATTAACCATTAAATCGAAGGGACCAGACCTATTGTTTCAAGAAATTCATTTACCACCCAAAAAAAAAAAAAAAACAACTGTTCACATTGAGGTTCACTTTCAAATGAAATGATTTCAAGTCAATTTAAAGGGCTCTGGAAGGGGGCAATAAGAGAGAATCTCTAAATTAGAACCTCAAAAAAAAATGTATTTGGTTGCATGGGCCCATAAGCTCCTAGCTGCAAGAGAAATGAAATGCAACAACTTTACATGATGCAAAATGCAGTAATACTTAGGTACCATTTTGTCACCGACAAATGGCGTCCATTGATCCCTAGAAGCATTTGTGAGTACCCAACGGACATTCTCCGGCACATCATTAAATTCAAAGTTTAAAGGAGCGGAACTCTTACGGCCCCCAGAGTTCTCCAAAGACTGCAAAAACAATTCTGCCACTTGTTTAGAAGAAATAAGAAATGGGATTTAAAGAGAGTCTAAAGTACTATTTTCAAAATCTCAACCAAACAGAATCCTTTACTCACATTAGTATCAGGATCTCGTTTCCTCTTTCGCGTACTTCCCGTTTCGAGAAAGTAATCCACCTCTTTTTTTGACCTGAATCGACGGCCTGAGACTGGATCAAAATAATACTGCACAATATATAGAATATTAAGTTAGTCCTGGCATTCCATGGACAAGTAATTTTTCCATTCTGATCCACCAAGCATTTGAAACCAGCTACACGTTCACAAACAAATCATTACAATAAAAATAGAAAAAAGAGACCAACAGCTGAAAAATCTCTGCTCCACCCAACCTAGTGCTATGAATCTCGTACCACACCGGCCGGTATGGCGCAGTATGCCATGTTACATAGACTTGGGTACGAGTATCAAGTGTGAGTGCATATCTAACTACTAGACCTTCATAAACCTAAATCTTAGGATTTGGGATATCTATCCAAATGTTAGATATGGGGAAGGGATCACGTCGTCATAGACACATATATATTGCATATTATATATTATTCTTAGATTAGATGTTGTAAATTATGTAGAAATATACTAGAAATCAGTGTTTTTAAAGGTCCAAGGCACACAAATGCGCTGAAGGTCTCTTGGAGCTGGGGCACAAGGCAAGCCGCACCTTTTCCAACAAAAAATAGATAAATTAACATAGACTAGTAATTCAAACTGCAAAATGAGCAAAATAAAAGAATTCACAACTTATTATAAGCACCCAAAGAATTAAAAAATAAATAAAAGAACTAAGGCAAATTGTAGAAGAATTCCCAAAGCTATTACAACACCTATTATTCTAAATGCAAAATAATCAAACATTCAACAAAAACAAATATTCAAAAGCACCAATATTTGAGTTTAAACATCTTAAAACATCAAAAGCAAATTAAAGAACTAAACATCAAACATAAATATTCAATAAATAAAAAATTGTATAAAAAGCAGTTCGTATTTTTTTTGTATTTGAGAATTTAAAATTCTGTGGCAACATATATAAGTGCATCATAGTACAAAAAAAGTAAAATCAATGACTGGTATTAAAAACAAAAACAAAAACAAAAGCCAGAATATAAATGAAGCACACAACTTTTGTGACTTGTGCCGTAAGTGCATGCAATGTCACGCTTCTTTGAATGGGCTGCACCTGGGCTTGTATAAGTCGCACAAGCTGCACTTCAGTGTGCCTTGCACCTAATTACAACTTTTACAACACTGCTAGACATTAAATAGGATTTAGAAAAAATAAGAAATTTCTCTCTGTAATCCATGTCAGATTCTTTATTAGCAAATATGGGTTTCTTCAACTTCATACATTGCAACAAATTAAAGGAGATCCAAGTGTCTAAATTGGATACGAGTGTCTGACACATATCTCATACCCTTACCCTTGTCATATCTGATATGGGTAATTTGGGAGAAATAGAAGAGTCCATGTAACACACAGTGTGTACTGTACCAAGCGAAAAACAGTACAACACACCCAATCCCATCCTGTTTGATTTACTGGGATGTCCTAATAAATTTCAGAAAATACTGGACTATTTCACCCAATTCTGGTTGTACTGGCATTCCGACCGGACATCCAAGGGAGAAATCACTTAGGTGATAAAAGTATAGACATAAATATAAATATAAATATAAATAAATATATTTATATATATAAAGAGAAGAATATCTAGTAGTGGTTTGTTGAGAAGCTGCAGCTTTCCTCTTCAGAAACATGGAAGTAAAAATCAAACCTAGAAAGTGAATGACGCATGCATATACATATAGACATGCATACAAATAGAGAGGGAGAATCGAAAGAGAGAGATGGAAGAATTGACACATGAATTGAGACCATTTGATTATTTGTTGTTTTTAGGAACATCGAAGAAGAGATGGTTGTTTCATCTGAGTGTTGAACAGTTTAGAGAGAGAACTAGGGCATCCACTTGAGAAAAGAAAAAGAAGAAGAAGAAGAAGAAGAAGAAGAAGAAGAATAGACCGTGTTAGGTGTGTACCCAATCTTTTCCCTTCCAAACAACATAAATGTGTACTATTTGGGCATTGTTTTTATGTAAGGATCCAGCTAACCACCAACGAATGGGTGTTGGTTACAGTTCAGATAATGCCAAAAAATTTCAGTTTTCGATACATATTCTCATACACCTTTATATATATTTATATACATTTTTACATTTCAATATACTTTTTACACATATACCAATCTTAAAATTGTGTCACATTATATACATTACTAAATATATAATATTTAAACCAAAGCCAAAATGCACTGATACTAATACATACCTTACCAATTATTTTACACTAAATATATAATATTTAAACCAAAATGGTATGCCGAAATGCACCGATACTGGTACGTACCTTACCAATTATTTTACATAAAAAAACTTGCTACAAAATGCTACACAACAATAGAATAGACTTGTTTCAAATGTTCTATGAAATACAAAGTTTTTTCACATCAATGTAATCAGACCCTCCCTCGATCTTGTGCATTTAAATTTATATAAGAATCTCCTAGAATTCGGTGCACTACTAAGGTTGCACATTCATTTCCAGTATGCTGCTTCCCTATTCAGCTAACAGCTCCAGAGTTCACATGTTCTAACTTCCAAACTACCCGATAAAAATATAATAACAGAAAATATAAGACAACTAACAATGTACAATAAAAATCTTAAAATATTGGGAATGAAAGAAGTATTTACCATTCCCCTATAATAAAACAAATAATTTTCCAAGTTCAAACCCTCTTAATGTCCAAACAAAAAGTATAAGCTAATACTGAATTATGAAGAAATCAGTCCACTAAGGCCTTCCCTTTGCATTTATATCATTCTAACAACAAAGGCCTACTTGACAATTAATTTCTTTCAAGATGCCATTTGGTCTGTGCATGTCATTTTTAGTAAGAAAAGTGACATAGTTGTACTCAGGTTAAATCCACCTGTTGCCAAGCAGCAACCCACATGCTGGTGCACGCTACATGCACGGAGAAGAGAGGTGATGAAGAAGTATAACAACAGATGACATTTCAAATGTTGTAAGCTTCTAAAGTGAGACTATAGAAGTTCAAACTGCTGACTGCTGATGAGACACAGATTAAAACTGATCTTATTATAATCCGGGGGGGGAAAAAGTTATGTTGGTTGGGACGAATTACTGAAAGCACTAGCCCAAAAATTGAAAACTGGGACGAATTACTGAAAGCACTAGCCCAAAACTTGAAACTGGGACGAATTACTGAAAGCACTAGCCCAAAACTTGAAAACCCATATCAACACAAGTGATGGTTCAGCAACAGTCAAATGGAACTCCAGCATGAGTTCTCACCACAACCTAGTAACAGATTCCATTGACCTGGATTTCCAAACTCAAGGATCACACCGAATCCCGAGCACTTTGCTTCTACAAGGATCAAACCCAACCCAAACTAACCTAATAACACTCATATTCTTAAATTTAAAAAATAAATAAATATAAATAAATAAAACTGATGTAGCCAAAATGATATGTAATGGATCTCAACAAATTTTAAACTTCACAGAACAAGGTAAAAAATTTTTAACCTATTCCATCAACACAGCAGTGCAATCTTGTTCTGAATCTAATTCTATAGATACTCCACAGCTGTACAAAGAGAAATCAAAGTACCAAACCAATTAAACAAGTAACTAAATATAAACAGAAAAAGAACATAAATATGTACATCTATACTATACTAAATAAAAGGAGAATTTGGTGTATCATTCCGAAGTTTCCAAACATTTATCCCACATTCATTCATACTGAAAAATTTTTATTGCACATACTCCCAACGAAACACCCCGTATTTTCCTTTTTTGAACAGCAACAAAAAGAATATTACTAATAATTACAAAACAGGTACAAAGAACAAGGGGGACAAGTTGTCCACGAAAAAGCACAAAAGAAAATACAAGAAGCAAACTAGCTGCAAAAGGCTACATTGGTGATTTTGGCTGTTAGCCAATCACTAAACCTAGTGTTTCCAAGTATATAATTATAATTCAACCTTAAAATAAAATTAAAATAAATAAATAACTAGTTGTTGATGCACACCATAAGAAGATCAAAAGAAATAAGTCTAAAAAAACAATTTCATTAGTTTCGATGTGAGGCCCACTTGGAACCTTGGCAGTTGAGTTTCAGTTATTGTAGGGTCCTGTTTAATGTTTATTTTTAAGTCTCTATATTGCTAGCTTTATATATCTTTTTTTGGGTTTTAGACGCCATGGGTTTTTGGTGATTTTTAAATTTGCTAGACATTGAATGTATTGATCACTGGCAAAATTTTGTATTATTTTAGTTTATTCAAATCAGTATTAGAAATCAAAATTCTTAGCTCTAGTACAGAATAGTCCTAGTTGAAATTTGATAGAGAACAAGTATAGAGACTTCTTTGCATCATTTGGAGCTCTTTGTGATTGTATGATGCAATTCTTATCCTAGACATGCCGCCTATGGAATCCTGAGAGTAATTTCTAGGCTTTCTTTCTCCTTCTGTCCCTTTTATGTTTCTACACTTTAAGCATTTTAAACCTATAACCAAATTTCATAAACAACTTCCCTCTGATATCCTATTTCACAACCTCAACCTCTTGCCAATCTTCAATCAACCAATTTAAAAATCAAAATCAGCACAAACTTACCATACATAAAATACTATTCGCAACCCCAAACAGTTCAAAATTGTGTATTTTCCTTCTCCAAATAAGCACTCAAAACCTTTATCCTTCATTATTACTTCACAAACCCATTAAACCTCATATCGCTAAAAGCATTAGCCACACAAAAATTAAATACAAGCAACTTTATCAGAGCCCTTCCTCACTGCCCTAACACATAGGAATCCAATGTAGATGGCAATATATATATATATATATCTGTCGTAAGATTGGACCCAAACGCTATTAGTACTTATGGACACACTATAAAAGACGTAATATAGTATTTAGAGTTGAATCAGCATGCAAAATATAAGTGAAAAAATAACAAATGCAATGAAGAAACCAAAAGGCAAGAATTTAATATGGTTCACCCACCAAAACTAAGTCCATGGGCACAGGTAATAAATACATTAATATAGATTACAAGCACGTGGCTCTTTCCAAAAACCATTAAGTAGCCAGTGTGTAGATTGGGCTTTTCTTCAGTCCATTGATACTGCTAATGAGGTGTTGATTCTTTGGGAAAAAACCTTACAAAAGGTGATTCATGAAATTAAATTGAAGCCCTAGCACACCACATTTTGATTGTATTACTACCCAACTCCCTTACTTAAAGCTTTCATCCTACATCCCATAAGCTAATGAAGTAATCAATGCCACCCAGTGTAAGGAATGGGGAAAAGGGAGTGCAGCTAACTAATACAGATTTTATTTTCATCTATAATTATCAAGTAACATAAAATCATATACATTACCATCCAAAGTTGGAGACAATGAATCATCCAAAGTCAAAACAGAATTGCAACTCCTTGATGATCAGATATAGCCCAATATAAAGAAAAGAGGGAAGGGGGCCATGAAAATTTTTGGAATGATATCGATGCCTCTAAACTTTTCAATAATCTTTAAGGACACATTTGAAATGTGGTGGCACAAAATATGGAACACTCTTGTTCTCTTAACTGCATGAGAATTTCTCCGAAGTAAATAAAAAAATTCAAAGCCTGATATATTCCATTTGAGAATTTCCATTATTGAATTCCATTTAAGAGGTTGAGGATGTGTAACCATAGTCAATGGGTCACATCTAATCAAGCATCTCTCGTCTAGAACTACATGTCAAGTTGACCAAGAGCGACAAAACTCTCAATTCTTATTTGATACACAATTTAACATCAAATTGCTGTCAGTAAAACTTTTTGACATCTTAGGTCAAAGCTAGAAAATAAACCCTAGAAGGAGGCAAAGCAAGTCAGTTCTTTCTAATGTAAACTATGCTTTTCCTTCCTCAAAAACAGCTCATCACTTGAGCATCATTTTCATAGTATATATCTGAATTAGAGATATAACCTCCCAATAAGTCATTTTTGTTCCAATTTAGTTTGGACAAAACTTAAGAAACGCAGACACTCCATTTTGGTTGTCACAGCAGTGTTCAACACATGCCGAATGAAGACATAGCCCAATATAAAGAAAAGAGGGAAGGGGGCCATGAAAATTTTTGGAATGATATCGATGCCTCTAAACTTTTCAATAATCTTTAAGGACACATTTGAAATGTGGTGGCACAAAATATGGAACACTCTTGTTCTCTTAACTGCATGAGAATTTCTTTGAAGTAAATAAAAAAATTCAAAGCCTGATATATTCCATTTGAGAATTTCCATTATTGAATTCCATTTAAGAGGTTGAGGATGTGTAACCATAGTCAATGGGTCACATCTAATCAAGCATCTCTCGTCTAGAACTACATGTCAAGTTGACCAAGAGTGACAAAACTCTCAATTCTTATTTGATACACAATTTAACATCAAATTGCTGTCAGTAAAACTTTTTGACATCTTAGGTCAAAGCTAGAAAATAAACCCTAGAAGGAGGCAAAGCAAGTCAGTTCTTTCTAATGTAAACTATGCTTTTCCTTCCTCAAAAACAGCTCATCACTTGAGCATCATTTTCATAATATATATCTGAATTAGAGATATAACCTCCCAATAAGTCATTTTTGTTCCAATTTAGTTTGGACAAAACTTAAGAAACGCAGACACTCCATTTTGGTTGTCACAGCAGTGCTCAACACATGCCGAATGAAGACATGCCAGGACATGTCTCAGACGCACCACGAGGCATGTCAAATTTTTTATTTTTCGGCCGGATACGTTCTAGGACACAACAGGGACACGTGTATTTTGTGTCCTGATATGCCAAAAGACACATTTGAGGTCTTAATACAATTTTAGAAAGGTGGTTTGTTAGTCAAAGTATGGCATTTAGAAACAAAAGTGTAGAAATTGAAAACAAAAACAAAAACAAATTTTTTCCCTAATATGTTCAATCTCCGATGTCTCTATTTTGAACCCTAAAATTCATTTGAGAAAGGCAGACCCGGTTTTATAATCGGAATCTACACCTTTTATCAAGGAGAAGCCCACAATACGATGAAAGAGAGACAGAAATATATTAGGGGAGACAGGTTTCACTAATTTGATAACGTTGGGATGCTTGAGGTTGCAAGCCTCTCGCTTGATGAAACCTAGGATGTGTCATTTACAAACGATGGAGGTTGCAGGCCAAGGGGATGGTGATGATGCTAGTAATGATGACTTCGTCGAAGTTGGGTCTACTTGAAGCTTCAAAAGACCTACTCTTTTTGTTTTTCCTTAGTGCTTTTGATGAATGTTTGGTGGCGATTGATTTTTCTTCAGATTGTAAATGATGTATTACATGCTAGGAAGCACGGGTGCGTGTATGTAAGTAGGTATGGCGACATTGTAGGTACACTAATACGGAAAAAGCTAAAAAAAAGTAGATACAAATATGTTTGCGTACATCTATAATTATACATACATATATATATATATATAACATTTGTAGCAGTACATGATATTACAATTAAAAAGTCAAACACAAAAAATAATATTTTTCATGATGGTCAAAAAAAAATCCTAAATATTTTTTGTATTTGCAAAAAGACTATATTTTTAAAGTTCTAAAAAAATGTGCACAATATAATTGTCTTAATAGTACCCTTATATTTTTTTTTAAATTACATTTATGCCTTGATGTACCCCCAAAAGTACCCAAAACGTACCTAAGCCGTACTCATGCCATAACTGAGTTGTACCCAAAGTATTTGGTGACCCAATACATCAACAATCGTACTGACCCGATACTCATACTGTAATATTTTTGAAATATCCATGCTTCATAGATTACATGATATCTTCAACTTGTAATTATATGTTTTTCATGAATCATTTATGTATTATTGAACTTAAATGCTTGACATTTGTGATATAATGATTTATGATTGATGAAATAGTATTTTGTATGTTGAATGATATTTAAGATAGAATCGAGTAGAGAAGAAGAATTCATGTAGCTGATCCCATTTGATGGACTAAGCTTGGTTAGGTTTGATTTATGTCAAATGACGTTTAAATTATGGATTGAGTATTTTTTTCATGTTGAATTAGTGGTAGTTCTTCATTATTTTGGTGATTTGTAAATAAAAATTAGCAAAAAAAAATTAAATTAAAAAAAAAAAATTTTGTTGTATCTCCGCCTTGATATTTTGAAAAATCATTGTGTCAATGTTTGTGTCCGTAGTGCTTAGGACAACCAATAAAATGCTTATCCAGTATGGATAGTTTAAGTATAGAAAGGACACTCTCCTACATCTCCACCAACAGCTGACCAATGCTAAGTAACATACTCAATACAAGGAACCACTTGCTTCCATGAATATCCTAAAATCGCAAATATCCTAGTTGAGCAAACAAAGCATCCTATATCTTATGCCCTCTGTTGTTAGAATCGTAGGATTCGCGATTCAAATCGTACGATTTGGTTCGATATACATGAAAATTGATTCGAATAGGTAGGGAGAATTGGAAATGGCCAAGAATCACACCTAAATCGCAGAATCAATTTCCTAATCATATGAATTGATGAATCACACGATTCAGTCTCTTGGTTATGACAAAATTTTTGGTTATAATCCAAGAGTTGTTTGGTTATACGTCATATGATGTTGAGTTATAACCCTTTTTTTTAGCTATCACTCACATAGTATTGAGTTATACCATTTGTGATAATCAAACTCACAAATGGCATAACTTGCATATGGAGAGGGAGGGGTGTGTACCATAGTATTTCCCATGAAATATTTGGACTTAAATTAATGCATGAAATATTCGGTTTCACGTTTCTTTTTTCCTTTCATATTGTTCTTATCAACAAAATATTAATTTTAGATGACCAAATTCCAACAAACAGCTCCAACACACGACAATAACATAGTAATAGAAAGCATTTTATAATACCATTATGAAGTCTCTTTGTCAAGTTGAAGACCCAAGGACCACACTTTAATAAAGTTGTGCAAAGATTCTTAAAGTCGGACACCCAACGACCACCGAAGCATAAAGTTGAAGACAAAAAGGACCATCAAGCAATAATAGATCACTGTTTCAGAAGCATTTGGTTCCAGTTTTCCGAATTCAATTTTTTTAAAATTGAGGTTTTTGTTTTTTGTGTTTTTTTTGTTTTTAATGATATTTTTTAATATTTTAAATAATTTTTTTATTTTTTAGATGCACCTAACCTAGATGTACTTAAAAAAATATTTTAAAAAATCAATAAATACACAAGAATATGAAAATGTACTAAATTTTTGTATTTAGTGAATTTGTTAAAAAAAAATTTCACATATATTATACTTTCTAATTGCATTTATATTAAGTGTATCTAAAGAGTAAAAAAAAAATTCTTAAAATATTTAAAAAATTCACTAAAAGTACGAAAAATAAAAAATTCAATTTTCAGAAAATTGAATTGAGGAAATTGGAACCAAACAAGGTGAGGGTTTTGTTTTCTCGGAGTAAATACAAACAGAAGATACAATGGGTTAGGTTGTATAAGTGGTCACTTGGTCATAGAAGAGTAGTCAACCCAGCCTCTACCGAAAAAAAGCCAAAAAAAATGGATCAGAAGTTGCAAATTTTCAGCCAGGTCCAAGAAAAAATGGGTTGGCCTACGGAGTGACTGAATCGTGCGATTCATTGATTCATACGATTTGAAAATTAATTCTGCGATTCAAGTGTGATTTTTGGCCATTTCCGATTCTCCCTATCTATTCGAATTAATTTTCATGTATATTGAACCAAATTGTACGATTTGAATTGCAAATCATATGATTCTAACAACAGAGGTCTCAATATGAAGCCCTCACAGCCAAAGAACTAAACCAATAGTATGAACTATCCATCACTTAATTAAGAAAAATAATTACCTTATCAACCAATCCAGCAGAGGCACCGGAGGACCGAGCCCTATAGTCAATCCACCAACCCCAAGGCAGCCATTCTGGTCTCTTCTGCAATGGAACGGAGAGCACTGTCAGAGCTGGCTGTCTCTTCCACCTCTGCAATGGCAGAGGCTTTGTGGTGGTTTCAACCATCGGCACAGTCATCTTCAGTACATCTCCACAATTTAAGGAGGCAGCAACCAGATTCTTCCATAGATCTAATTCATCATGCACCAATTTCTGAGTTTCATTTTTGGTTGGTTTAGCAGTTCTAGTTTCATTGTTCTGTGCTTCCTCTTCTTTGACCAGCATCATCCCTCCACCTTTGGGGATAACATTGAGGTCCATAAAGATCGGCATTTTGCAGTGGGCAGCGAGGGGATAGAATTCAGGCAAGTCTTGGCAGACAAGCGAGGGTTTTTTTTTTTCCACCATAGGGTTTGGAGAGTGATATGAAAGACTATGAATGTGATAGGTTGACATTGTGTGAATCTGAGTGAAGCAAAATGTGGCATTTGGGGAATGATATTTATAATAAATTTTTGCCGAATAAGCAGAAAAATGTTTTAAAAAGCCAAAGCTGAAAATTGGTTGAGATGAGCCAGGTTGAGTTGGAAATCTAAATATCTAATTAAAGCCCGATCTGCAATTTAAGTAGGCTATAAAACAACACTTATTTTGTTTTTATTAGGTAATTTTATATCTGGCCCCTCACAAATAAACAAAATTGATTATGATTTTGACCCACTATCTCAATGTTTGACCCAATATCAATGGAGAATCAATTTCCTAAGGTAAGCCAAACATATTTGGCAAGTGTAAAACATACACAGTTAGAAGTAACATGGTTCTAATCTATTTGAAATTTATATTTTATCCTCCACCAATGGAAAATCAATTTCCAAGGTATGGTACTTTTTTTCTTTTCCCTTTTTTGACCGGCAATGAGAGGTACATGTTTGGCATCCATTATTAGTAGATACAAATACCTGACTAGAAAATACCAAAATCTTCATCTATATAAAGAATTCAAGCAAACACATCTTTATTATTTTGTCTTTCCTTTAAAAATAAAGAAGAAGAAAAAATCCGTCATCTTTTATTTCCTTTTATCTATTTGACTCAATTACTTTTAACATCATTCTCAGATTCTGCTAAACCCGAGAGGAAATATGTATTTCCATTTACAATTGTAAAAGTTTAACGTGTGGAGAATCAGACTACTGCTTGAGTACTTGGAATCTACATTTGGTTCTTCATCTTAGCTATTAAGGTGTAATCCTACACAACTCAATGCTCAGAAAAATGTTTTAAATAGCCAAAGCTGAAAATTGGTTGAGATGAGCCGGGTTGAGTTGGAAATCTAAATATCTAATTAAAGCCCGATCTGCAATTTAGGTAGGCTATAAAACAATACTTATTTTGTTTTTATTAGGTAATTTTATATCTGGGCCCTCACAAATAAACAAAATTGATTATGATTTTGACCCAATATCAATGGAGAATCAATTTCCTAAGGTAAGCCAAACAAATTTGGCATGCGTAAAACATACACTGTTAGAAGTAACATCGTTCTAATCTATTTGAAATTGATGATTTATCCTCCACCAATGGAAAATCAATTTCCAAGGTATGGTACTTTTTTTCTTTTCCTTTTTTTGACTGGCAATGAGAGGTACATGTTTGGCATCCATTATGATTAGATACAAAAACCTGACTAGAAAATACCAAAATCTTCATCTATATAAAGAATTCAAGTAAACATATTTATTATTTTGTCTTTCCTTTAAAAATAAAGAAGAAAAAAAAACTGTCATCTTTTATTTCCTTTTATCTATTTGACTCAATTACATTTAACATCATTCTCAGATTCTGCTAAACCCAAGAGGAAATATGTATTTCCATTTACAATTGTAAAAGTTTAATGTGAGGAGAATCAGACTACAGCTTGAGTACTTGGAATCTACATTTGGTTCTTCATCTTAGCTATTAAGGTGTAATCCTACACAACTCAATGCTCCAAAAGTTCATGTCACTTGAATTTCTGCCACTGAAATGTTGTTAATTGTCCCCAATCTCATGATTTAAGTGCATTAACATGTTGAATCCACTAACAAACATTATTGTAAGTTTCAATATAGGTTTTGGTAATGAAGAAAATCGACAATAATAAAAAATCCTTCAGGCAACCTAAGCTTTGCATTGAAAGAAATATGGAATAACAGATTGTCTTTTGGACAACCAAGAATGGGTTTTGAGACAAGCATCTGCAGGAAAACTGCTAAGGAAAGTGATTACACATTAATTTCCTTAGTAAGAGAAAACAAATGAAGTGCTTAATTCAAAGGATAAAAACACTGCTTTTACACATTATATGTTCAAATACCATGTGGTGAATTTGGCTAGCAGCGGATCAATATACTCTTTCTTATTTTTTTTTATTTTTTTTGATAACCAGGTGTCCAGCCCAACTTATGCGCACCTAGACTAATCCTAGGGGGATCAATCCCACCACCCACTTGCAGGCCCATTTAAAATCAGGGCAAATGCCCTATATGGACATGGCCCCAAGAAGCTTATTGTTGCTAGTGAGTATTAAACCTGAGACTTAGAGGGAGCACACCCCTACGGGACCAATCTACTCTTTCTTATTTAACTTATCTTTATAGGTGAGAGGTAAGAATTCAAATTTAACCCCATCCCTCCATCAATGTTTATAAAAGCAATGTTTTTAAACTAGACTAGACCAGCTGGTTCGACTAGTTGACCTGTCAACCTGTTTAGGTTCCAATCTGGATAAACCCTCACACCCATTTTAGTTTAAAAACTAGCTTATTTTCCCCACAATTGAACTGGCTAACCGGAGCCAATTCAAGGAAACCATCCAAACCTTAAAGCATGGTCTATAGCTTTGTTAAAAGCATTAACAAGAGGTGCAAAGGCTTGAACACATGACTTGCTGCATCAAAATCAAGCAGTTTACCACCAGGCCACTAAACCACCTTGTTAATAATATTATGTCGATATCTATTATTATTAGCATTTTCCCTTAACGCAATATTTTTTTTTTTTTTACAATCAATCCATATAAAAATATTTTAAATGAATGTCTATGCTTTTAAGTATAATTTTTAATATATTAACAAAGTACATAATGGTTCGATTCCGGTTGAGCCAATAACCCTTGACCAGGTCCCTTTTCCGATTTGGTTAATGGTCCTAGTTTCAAAACATTGCATATAACTTATATAAGTCATGTCTGCACCAAAATACTAAAAACTTGAAACAGCTTTGACATCTAACCCTGTATATGAGAAATATTTTATGCATCTTACATTGTAGAAATTTAACATAATATAGCAACACAAAAACCTCTTACAAAACCATAATTAAGAATACCATTGACAATCAAAAGAAATATAATTAATAAATAGTCAATCTTAAACCTCATTTTATCCACCACTACCCTTGAAACATGCTTACCAAGTGAATAATTGTATTGCTTTAAAAATAAGTAGGTTCAAATGCAATAGAAAGTATCAAGATGCCCACTCACTTTCATAAAGCTTTTCTTATTTCAACTTCTAGTTCTCGATCTGTTGAAGTGGAAGGCCACACTAAGCTCACACCACAACTACATGCTCGAAGACCAGATGCAGCTTAAACCCCTGCGCATTATGTTTTCTTAATCCATGTATTTGGTTTGTTAAACTCATCTAAAAAATTGTAAGAAAATTCAACTTCGGCCTCGTCTTCTCAATACTACTTGGCTATTGTCCCTAACTTGTCATTTTTGGTAAGTTCTCCTAACTTTTCATTCCATAATTTGACATGCCACAACCATTCTTCCTGCCAATTGTATGCTTCCTCTTCACAATTAATTGGCTTTCTTCTCTAATTCTGTTTTGGAAAGTTTGTCTCCAACTGTTGAGTCTACAATTTCTCATCCTTTTCACTTTACACAATTGTTCTTCCAACCAATTATACGCTCTCTCTTCATCATCATATTGTAGGTGCTATTTTAATTAGTCACAAATATCAAAAATTAAAGCTATTGACATTTTATGTGGATATATATAGGGTACTAATATTTTTGTATATAGTGTGTGTACAGTTAAGGTTTATATACAAAGATTAGTTCCTAGAGAGACTAGGAAGCAATTAATTAATTTATTTATTTTTAATCAGCATGACAATTTTAGAATCAAACAAACAGAATCAGCCCTGTATATTTCAGTAACATTCAAATCATATACAAATCTCCAACAAACAATTCTTGTATTTCTTGCTAACTAAAAACGATATCCAATAAAAAGATAACATAACAACACACATTTCCAATTTCGCCAACATGAATCATTCCCAATATCTTCCTAATTTGCAAATTACTATTATTATGGAATATGATCATTCCTGATACTCCAACTAATCGCCATAACTTTGTAGATACACTTCAACATAATAGTGATGAAATTAATTAATTGAAATAAAACAAAAAATCAAAATAGAAAAGAGGAATTACCCTATCAATGGATCCAGCGGAGGCACCGGAAGTCCTGATCCGGCAGTCCATCACCCAACTCTCCGGCAACCACTTCGGTCTCTCTGGCAACAATTCAACGGGCACAGCCTGCGGCGGCGCTCCCCTCCGCCCCCGCGGCGGCGTAGAGTCAGTCGCCGACGTCTCCGTACAATTAGAGGCATCGGTGGCGGGTCGGGAAAGCAGCTCCGGTTCATCTCCGACCGGTTCTCGAGCTCCGTGTTGGTGATGGTCCGAGAGGCCGTTTGGAGCTTCTTTGAATCCGGTGGTGGTTAGGGTTGGACCCGTGGAGTCAAGGTCGCAGTCGATGAATGCGCCGGGGTCCAAGAGAGGGTCCGGCGGGAGCTGGTGGTCGGGTTCCGACGGGTTCGGGTCCAACGAGTGGGAGGAGAGCGGGTACCGATCTCCTCCGGATTCGCAGGTCGACATGAGAGAGAGAGAGAGAGAGAGGGTGTGTGTGAAAGGAGAAAGTGGTGTGGTGGGATTGGAAAACCGAGAGTGAAACGTGGCGTTTTGAGTAAAAAGGAACTTCAGATGGACTTACAAGTGTTGTGACCCCATTCAGCTTGCTTGTTTTATTTTTTAAAAAATACTTTTCAAAAGGTTCTGTATTTTTATTTTTCGTGTTTTTTTATTTTTATTAAATTTTTTTAATATTTTAAGTAATTTTTTTATTTTTTAGACATACCTAACATAAATATATTTAAAAAGTAAAAAACTTGTAAAAAAAATCTTTTAAAAATTCACTAAATACCAAAAATATAAGAATTCAGTACATTTTTTATATTTTTATGTATTTAATAATTTTTTAAAATATTTTTTTACAAATTTTTTACTTTTTAGATACATCTGACTAAGGTGCATCTAAAAAAGTAAAAAAAAAAAAATTAAAAAATATTCACTAAAAACAAAAGAATACGAAAATCAAAAAACTCAATTTTCAAAAAACTTAATCCAGAAAACTCAAACCAAACACACTGATTTATATTTCTTTCGCAGTCAACGCCATTGGTTGGTCTATTGTTATGGAAATATGTCAATTTCTATTTTCACACCTATTTTGCTCTTTACACACTGGGTCATGTTTGTTTTGACAGAAAGAATAATGGAAATTATAATTTATTAGACTTTTAATCTTGACATACATAGTCGTTGCATTATTGATTAGAAATTATATATATCCCATATTTGTTTAGTCATGAGATTAAATGTCAAGAAAAAACTATCTTATTAAATCTTATGTTTAGTTGAGATATTATGAAAAATAATAAATGCTCACAAAATTACTTTGCCCTTTTGAATTATTTACTAATGGTTGATTCTTCATGGTAAACTCCTTACCAATTCTATGCGATTAAAGAGGAGAATTACGAAAAATGCAAATTGTCCAAGATGCAACCACCAATTGAATGACATTGAGCATTTGTTTCGGGACTGTACTTAATCCAAATAATGAGATTAAACATGCTTTCTCTATTTGTTTGACTAATAATAGATTAACTCATGTTATGATTAAATGGACTTCGCCACCTACATGTAAAATCAAGCTCAACACCAATGGGTGTGCTTGGGGAGATCCAGGTGAAGAAGGCTTTGGAGGAGTATTTTGGTATAAAGATTGCATCTGGCCGTGTGGATTTTTCGAAAAGCTTGAATCTTGCTATAGCTTGGAGGCTGAAATGTGGGGAATCTACAAAAGGCTAACAATTGTGTTGGAGAAAGGATTGCATGAAGTTGTCGTCGAGACGGACTCTACCTTAGCTGAAGAATTGCTCAACAAAGGGCCACGTCCAAATTGCCCTTTCAGAAGCATAGTGAGGACTCTAGACACCTAATTCGTAGGTGTAACTGCACTATTTAGCATATCTTGCAAGAGGACAACAAGTGCACAAATATGTTAGCCAATATGGGAGCTGAACAATTGGAACTTTGGTGGTGGTGGAAGAACCACATGTTGCCGTTAGAAGCCAAATAGTGGTTGATATGGTAGGGATGGCATATCGGAGGATCTAATCTCTGATTTCCTCTCCCTTTTATCGTTTTGTTCCGTCCTTGTTGTTTACTTTCCAATGTATCCACACAAAAAAAAAGTATTATTAAATTTGACTTATAAATTTTTATTTTATTTTTTGGCTAGAACTTTTAAAAAATTAAATAAATAGACATTAATAAAAATTAAATTATTTTATTTTATTTTTCGGTTGAGACTTTTAAATTTTATTTTATTTTACGAAGTGCAATATATAACAATAAAAAGAATATCAATGAAAATTATAAGTTAAAATCTAAACTAAATATGAAATAGAAAGCAAAAACTTCTCAACACAATGGAGGCAACAAATGTCCTAACGCAAATTAGAATTAATTATCCAACAACAATACAAATTCAAATGGACCATATCACAAAGAAATATTTTTTGAATTTAAAAATTAAAAAAAAATTGAAACTAGTTTGATAAAAACTATTATTTATTTTCTTCAAGAAACTAATTTTTTGTTTTTTAGAAAAAAAAAATTATGAAACAAGTTTCTAAAACCAAACCAAAAATGGCCTAAATACTTGGAGGGCAAAATTGTCTTTGTATCAGCTAATCTAGAGGAGGGCTATAGTCCATCACTTTTGTATCCTGCATCTCTCCCCAAGAATAGTCTATCATATGGGAAACTAACAGTCCGATCAGACTATTAGTTTGACTTATAAATTTTCAACCAAACAACAAACTAAGTGAGCTATTGGATATGGAGTCTAATCACATCCTTCAATCCCTCCAAACGAACACCCTCTTAATGTAAAAATTAATAATAATAATAATTGATTACAAATTTTTTCATAAAATAAAATTATTAAAATATACTTATCTTCCTCATCCCAAACACTATTTCCCAAATTCCCCCTCAACATTGCTTGCAACCTTTCTCTACCCTTCTCCAGTATCATCAATCCTCCTCAACCACTTCTTCAACGTCGCACTTTCACTTTAACCCTAAAAAATCTAGCACACTACTACTCCCAAATTCTAACTACTATTTTTCTCACCTTACGGACTACCAACGTCAAATGAATCACCACCGTTCATATATCAACCACTGAACCAAAAATGTTTTTGTTCAAATATCAACCATTAAACCAATAGTGTTTGCTCGGATATCAACTATCAAACTAATTTGGCATTCTTATGATGGCAGCGATGGGTTCATAGGGGGTTCATAGCAATGGGGTTGTAGAGATGGTGTTTGAAGGAAGGGATTCTCAGTGATGAAGGGTAAAGGTGGGCGTTCATGACAAATAAGGCGTTTGTGGTAGTAGGGTTTGTGGTGGCAACAATGGCCAGAGTTGCTCAAATGGTAATAGTGATGATAACTAAGGTTAGGGTTAGGTTTTGAAAGTAAAGAATGTTAAGGGATATTTTTTAGATGAATTGATTGTGTTCTAAGTAAAATATCAAATTTCAAAATCATGTATGTGCTAAGAATTTTTGTTAGGTGAAAATAGAAGCTCCTCATAGTGAAGTTTGTCTCTTATTTATGAAAGAGCAAATTATAATTTTTCCTTAAACTTTTCGTAAAATACAGATTTTCATTTTTGATTATGATAATTACATTCCATCCTTTAAAGTTTGTATTTGCATGACAAATATCTCATTATATTAGTCCATAGTTATGTCCATTAATTAATTTTGCTTATATCAGCAAATTCTTTATTTTTTAAGGACAAATTATGACGGTAGTCTTTATATTTTGGTTATTGTGTCATTTTAGTTATTATAATTTCAATTGATTCGATTTTGATCATAAATTTATGACTTTGGGCTATTTTGAAAAGATGGTTATAATCAGTTTTTTTGTCAAAAGCTGATTAAAAGCTGATTATAATCGGCTTTTTATGAGAGAGGGAAGTGTGTTATAATCTGGGAAGTGGATTATAACCCACTTCCCAAAAGACCACTTATCTCAATTTAGTCCAATTGATTCAAACTCTTACCATTTTTTTGTAGAAAATATGCACAAGTGCAAAATTATAAACTTACCAAATTCAGTGAGTTAACCCCCAACCAATTTAATGATAATTTTATTTTAAAAACACTAAAAATATTTTCAATTGGACCAAATTGACACAAAATTTAAAATAAATGATCAAAATTGAGTCAATTAAAAGTGTAGGGATCAAAATGACATAAGAGATAAAATATAGAAACTACTTGTGTAATCTGTCCTTTCTTAAAATACCTATTTTACTTTCATTTACAACTTTTTTTTAATCTCTCACACAAAAACTTTATTATCCTTCCTTGTCTCAAACACCCTCCGAACCAACACCGTGAGACCACCTCTCCCACAGTGAGGCCACCACAGCCAAAGAATGTCTACCACACCCACCACCGATATCATTTGACCATAATCCTTCGATGTTCTATTAACTAATCCCCTTAGGGCATGTTTGATTGGAAGGATTAAAGCATGGGATTAGGATTATTAATCCGTGGGCCCAATCATCCTATGTTTGTTTTGACATTTTGGTTTAGGACTATTAATCCAATGGATAATTAATCCAACAAATTTGTAGGATTATTAGTAATGGGGTAGGGGTGGGATAGTTAATACCACACTAATTTGATAGGATTATTAATACCTCACTATTAGTATTGTGAATCAAACATGACCTAAAAGTATTCAAGAGCTATGAGTTGCCACTTAAATCTAATGCTAGGATTTATGGTTCAACAATTTCTAATTTTCAAAAGAATGTGATTAATTGGTTTCCTAAAAGAGTGCAAAAACTCTTGACTTGTTCCAAATACTATGCTTGGCCTTTTCAATAAGTAATTTTCAACATATGCGCAAGCAGGACCATATGAATTAGACAAAATAAAAATGGCCGCTATATATTGACTAAGATACATGTTGGTTAAATATGCAGGACTCGCTGTATCTACTCTCAAGTAAGTATACATTTTCATACTGCACGCTTCCGCTTCAATGGCTTACTCCTCCTTGGCCTAGAATAATTTGGAACTGGTTTACTTCCATTAGAAGCATAAACCTCTTCCAAAACCTCCCCGTCCTGCAGAAAACCTTGAATTTGTAATATTTAATTTATTGTGGAGTTTATAAAGTTGAGAGTTTACTCTATTTTCCATTATGTAAGAAATCTAGTCCCTGAGTTCATGTAGATATCTCTAGTTACATCTTTCAATCAGTGTCAAAATCCTCAAAAGCTTTATTTATTTATTTTTTTTGGTCATGAAAATTAAGAAATTCATACTCACATTTACAGCACACTCATTTACTGCAACAAAATCAGTCCTCTGTACCGTATAATGAACAAATGAAATAAAGTTAAGAACTTATCCGCATCCTATCTGTCCCTATACAGGATGTAAATCCTACCTGCCAATCAATGATCTACCCTAGGTTGATCTACATGGCTGAAATAATCTCCAACTAAATAATGGATTTGATCAAGATATTAATGGCAGCAGAACAGAAGAAGATGGTGTCATCTACAAATGAACTTTTGTTCTGTA